GCCACATGTCAACACTGGGTCTGACTGAGCGCCTCCAGGAGAGAGGCCAAAGCAATACGCGCCCCGAGGAGCGTCTTGCCACATGTCACCACTGGGTCTGACTGAGCGCCTCCAGGAGAGAGGCCCAAGCAAGACGCGCCCCGAGGAGCGTCTTGACACAGGTCAACACTGGGTCTGACAGAGGGCCTCCGGGAGAGAGGCCCAAGCAAGACGCGCCCCGAGGAGCGTCTTGCCACATGTCACCACTGGGTCTGACTGAGCGACTCCAGGAGAGAGGCCCAAGCAAGACGCGCCCCGAGGAGCGTCATGCCACATGTCACTACTCGGTCTGACTGAGAGCCTCCAGGAGAGAGGCCCAAGGAAGACGCGCCCCGAGGAGCGTCTTGCAATGTGTCAACACTGGGTCTGATTGAGGGCCTCCAGGAGAGAGGCCCAACCAAGACGCTCCCCGAGGAGCGTCTTGCCACATGTCAACACTGGGTCTGACAGAGGGCCTCCAGGAGAGAGGCACAAGCAATACGCGCCCCGAGGAGCGTCTTGCCACATGTCACCACTGGGTCTGACTGAGCGACTCCAGGAGAGAGGCCCAAGCAAGACGCGCCCCGAGGAGCGTCTTGCCACATGTCAAGACTGGGTCTGACTGAGCGCCTCTAGGAGAGAGGCCCAAGCAAGACGAGCCCCGAGGAGCGTCTTGACACATGTCAACACTGGGTCTGACAGAGTGCCTCCAGGAGAGAGGCCCAAGCAAGACGCGCCCCGAGGAAGGTCTTGCCACATATCACCACTGGGTCTGACTGAGCAACTCCAGGAGAGAGGCCCAAGCAAGACGCGCCCCGAGGAGCGTCATGCCACATGTCACTACTCGGTCTGACTGAGAGCCTCCAGGAGAGAGGCCCAAGGAAGACGCGCCCCGAGGAGCGTCTTGCAACGTGTCAACACTGGGTCTGATTGAGGGCCTCCAGGAGAGAGGCCCAACCAAGACGCGCCCCGAGGAGCGTCTTGCCACATGTCAACACTGGGTCTGACAGAGGGCCTCCAGGAGAGAGGCCCAAGCAATACGCGCCCCGAGGAGCGTCTTGCCACATGTCACCACTGGGTCTGACTGAGCGCCTCCAGGAGAGAGGCCCAAGCAAGACGCGCCCCGAGGAGCGTCTTGCCACATGTCAACACTGGGTCTGACTGAGCGCCTCTAGGAGAGAGGCACAAGCAAGACGCGCCCCGAGGAGCGTCTTGCCACATGTCAACACTGGGTCTGACAGAGGGCATCCAGGAGAGAGACCCAAGCAAGACGCGCCCCGAGGAGCGTCTTGCCACATGTCAACACTGGGTCTGACTGAGCGCCTCCAGGAGAGAGGCCCAAGCAAGACGTGCCCCGAGGAGCGTCTTGACACATGTCAACACTGGGTCTGACTGAGGGCCTCAATGAGAGAAGCCCAAGTAAGATGCGCCCCGAGGAGCATCTTGCCACATGTCAACACTGGGTCTGACAGAGGGCCTCCAGGAGAGAGGCCCAAGCAATACGTGCCCCGAGGAGCGTCTTGCCACATGTCACCACTGGGTCTGACCGAGCGCCTCCAGGAGAGAGGCCCAAGCAAGACGTGCCCTGAGGAGCGTCTTGCCACATGTCAGCACTCGGTCTGACTGAGAGCATCCAGGAGAGAGGCCCAAGCAAGACGCGCCCCGAGGAGCGTCTTGCCACATGTCAACACTGGGTCTGACTGATCGCCTCCGGGAGAGAGACCCAAGCAAGACGTGCCCCGAGGAGCGTCTTGCCACATGTCAACACTGGGTCTGACTGAGCGCCTCCAGGAGAGATACCCAAGCAAGAAGCGCACCGAGGAGCGTCTTGACACATGTCAACAATGGGTCTGACTGAGGGCCTCCAGGAGAGAGGCCTAAGCAAGACGCGCCCCGAGGAGCGTCTTGCCACATGTCAACAATGGGTCTGACTGAGCGCCTCCAGGAGAGAAGCCCAAGCAAGACGCGCCCCGAGGAGCTTCTTGCCACATGTCAGCACTCGGTCTGACTGAGCGCCTCCATGAGAGAAGCCCCAGCAAGACGCGCCCCGAGGAGCGTCTTGCCACATGTCAGCACTCGGTCTGACTGAGCGCCTCCAGGAGAGAGGCCCAAGCAAGAAGCACCCCGAGGAGCATCTTGCCACATGTCACTACTCGGTCTGACTGAGCGCCTCCTGGAGAGAGGCCCAAGCAAGACGCACCCCGAGGAGCGTCTTGCCACATGTCAACAATGGGTCTGACTGAGCGCCTCCAGGAGAGAAGCCCAAGCAAGACGCGCCCCGAGGAGCGTCTTGCCACATGTCAACACTGGGTCTGACTGAGCCCCTCCAGGAGAGAGGCCCAAGCAATACGCGCCCCGAGGAGCGTCTTGCCACATGTCAGCACTCGGTCTGACTGAGCGCCTCCAGGAGAGAGGCCCAAGCAAGATGCGCCCCTAGGAGCGTCTTGCCACATGTCAACACTTGGTCTGACAGAGGGCCTCCAGGAGAGAGGCCCAAGCAAGACGCGCCCCGAGGAGCGTCTTGCCACATGTCACCACTGGGTCTGACTGAGCGCCTCCAGGAGAGAGGCCCAAGCAAGACGCGCCCCTAGGAGCGTCATGCCACATGTCACTACTCGGTCTGACCGAGCGCCTCCAGCAGAGAGGCCCAAGCAAGACGAGCCCCGAGGAGCGTCTTGCCAAATGTCAACACTGGGTCTGACTGAGTGCCTCCATGAGAGAAGCCCCAGCAAGACGCGCCCCGAGGAGCGTCTTGCCACATGTCAGCACTCGGTCTGACTGAGCGCCTCCAGGAGAGAGGCCCAAGCAAGAAGCGCCCCGAGGAGCATCTTGCCACATGTCACTACTCGGTCTGACTGAGCGCCTCCAGGAGAGAGGCCCAAGCAAGACGCACCCCGAGGAGCGTCTTGCCACATGTCAACAATGGGTCTGACTGAGCGCCTCCAGGAGAGAAGCCCAAGCAAGACGCGCCCCGAGGAGCGTCTTGCCACATGTCAACACTGGGTCTGACTGAGCCCCTCCAGGAGAGAGGCCCAAGCAAGATGCGCCCCGAGGAGCGTCTTGCCACATGTCAACACTGGGTCTGACTGAGCGCCTCCAGGCGAGAGACCCAAGGAAGACGCGCCCCGAGGAGCGTCTTGCCACATGTCAACACTGGGTCTGACTGAGCGCCTCCAGGAGAGAGGCCCAAGCAAGACGCTCCCCGATGAGCGTCTTGCCACATGTCAGCACTGGGTCTGACTGAGCGCCTCCAGGAGAGAGTCCCCAGCAAGACCGCCCCGAGGAGCATCTTGCCTTATGTCAGCACTCGGTCTGACTGAGCACCTCCAGGAGAGAGGCCCAAGCAAGACGAGCCCCGAGGAGCGTCTTGCCACATGTCAACACTGGGTCTGACTGAGCGCCTCCAGGCGAGAGACCCAAGGAAGACGCGCCCCGAGGAGCGTCTTGCCACATGTCAACACTGGGTCTGACTGAGCGCCTCCAGGAGAGAGGCCCAAGCAAGACGCGCCCCGAGGAGCGTCTTGCCACATGTCAGCACTGGGTCTGACTGAGCGCCTCCAGGAGAGAGTCCCCAGCAAGACCGCCCCGAGGAGCATCTTGCCTTATGTCAGCACTCGGTCTGACTGAGCACCTACAGGAGAGAGGCCCAAGCAAGACGAGCCCCGAGGAGCGTCTTGCCACATGTCAACACTGGGTCTGACTGAGTGCCTCCATGAGAGACGCCCCAGCAAGACGCGCCCCGAGGAGCGTCTTGCCACATGTCAGCACTCGGTCTGACTGAGCGCCTCCAGGAGAGAGGCCCAAGCAAGACGAGCCCCGAGGAGCGTCTTGCCACATGTCAACACTGGGTCTGACTGAGCGCCTCCAGGAGAGAGGCCCAAGCAAGAAGCGCCCCGAGGAGCATCTTGCCACATGTCACTACTCGGTCTGACTGAGCGCCTACAGGAGAGAGGCCCAAGCAAGACGCACCCCGAGGAGCGTCTTGCCACATGTCAACAATGGGTCTGACTGAGCCCCTCCAGGAGAGAGGCCCAAGCAAGATGCGCCCCGAGGAGCGTCTTGCCACATGTCAACACTGGGTCTGACTGATCGCCTCCGGGAGAGAGGCCCAAGCAAGACGCGCCCCGAGGAGCGTCTTGCCACATGTCACCACTGGGTCTGACTGAGGGCCTCCATGAGAGAAGCCCAAGTAAGACGCGCCCCGAGGAGCGTCTTGCCACATGTCAGCACTCGGTCTGACTGAGCGCCTCCAGGAGAGAGGCCCAAGCAAGACGCGCCCCGAGGAGCGTCTTGCCACATGTCACCACTGGGTCTGACTGAGATCCTCCAGGAGAGAGGCCCAAGCAAGACGCGCCCCGAGGAGCGTCTTGCCACATGTCAACACTGGGTCTGACTGAGCGCCTCCAGGAGAGAGGCCCAAGCAAGACGCGCCCCGAGGAGCGTCTTGCCACATGTCAACACTGGGTCTGACTGAGCGCCTCCAGGAGAGAGGCCCAAGCAAGACGCGCCCCGAGGAGCGTCTTGCCACATGTCAACACTCGGTCTGACTGAGCGCCTCCGGGAGAGAGACCCAAGCAAGACGTGCCCCGAGGAGCGTCTTGCCACATGTCAACACTGGGTCTGACTGAGCGCCTCCAGGAGAGAGGCCCAAGCAAGACGCGCCCTGTTGAATAAAGATTTTCGATTCCTCCAGACCTGTCTTATTATATAATAGCAGTTCTGGATTACATCTCAAATCTGTATGTTAGTGAAACCAGGCTTCAGGGTTCAGCTAGAGGTCTGTGTGTGGTGATTTGACTCCTGATCTCATGCTGCCATAAATGATGTGTGTGTTTCAACTAATCTGCTATCCATGACAAATTTATGTTGTAGTTTAACCTTGTATCGACTTTTTATGGTGTAGCCTAGGATGTGATAAGAACTTCAGGGACACGTATAGAGATGTTTATGTTTGACTTCCTTTGATCTGAGCTGAAGAAGGAAGAAGGAGGAGGGAAGACCCCCGCCCATCTGGCTGATACCGGAGGGGGCTGGGAGAAGACCCAAGGCCGGAGAATGCTTCCGAGGCAGGGGTTGCCATGGAGACGGAAGGGGGGCTAGGAGGAGAGAGTTGAGGAGAATAAAAGGGTGAGGGCTCCGTGGAGAGAGGCTGGGTCTGGGGCTTTTTGGGTGTTTGAGAAGAGTTCGGAGGACAACTGTAACGGTTGAGTGATCTGACCCGCTGCGTCGGGAAATCTGGAATATTTTTACTTCATCATATAAAATAAAATATTTGCTCCTTCATATAAGGGGCTTTAAACGGAATCTCCAGCCTGGGGTCTCCAATCGTGTCGTGTAACAGCTGAAAGGTGAGGCGCTGGTTACTTTTTGATCCCGCTCCAAGAGGTTTACATTTAAACTTAAAGTCTTTAACCTGGGCATAGCATAAGCTGCAGGTGACTGAGTTGTGGTGAAGTTATAACAAGAGTCTTCCTTTGTGCTGCTAAAGTATGTTTGCCAGAGTCTAAATCTAGGTAAAGATGATCGCTGATTAGCTCACAGAGATGTAAGCTCAGACTGGAGTCCCGCTCACGCACAAATAGAATTACAAGTCAACCCTGAGACGTAGTGTTTATTAAAGAGTCAGCTAGTTTGGGAGGATGACTTGTAACATGGCGCCCAATAACGTGGGGCTGTGATTTCGCAGTTGAGTAGAAAACAACCTGTTGTGAGCTTAGAAAGTCCGGAACTGGGAAAATTGTCCGCAAGGGCGGACAATTTGTCCCTAAGGAGCCGGCTATATTGGCCGAAGGGGGCCGTTTAGGGAGCCTATGAGTTTAGATTCTGAAGTCCAGTAGCTGGAAGTGTGTTGGAACGCACTGGTCCGGTTGGATCGGTTCCGTAGAAGTGCGTTTCTCTCCACCAGGTGCACACGGCGCAAAGGGGTTTTGTGAGAACCTCTTAGCAGAATTCTCACACGCAGGAAAGGGAGGGGCCTCGTAAAAGATTCTCACAAAGTAGAATTAAATCGCAGGTTGCAATTCCTGACCTCGTGGACGTAATCCGGGGCAGAACAGCTAAGTTGCTGCTGGTGTGTGTGCACGCACACCCTGCCTTTAAAGGACAACGATTTTGATGCGAGGTGATCTTTATGAGTAAAGGTACTCGTGTAACTGAGGGAAATTTAGGGATGGCTGCAGTGAGCGAATATGGCTCAGGGGAGGAAGAACGCGGGGAGAGAATGGCTGATACTGAGAGCTTGTGGGCTCGTGATGACCCAGCTAGAGTGCGAGCAATATTTTCTGACTATTCCAAGGTGTGTTTCGAGCCTCCAGCATCATTGGTGAATGCAATTAATGTGAACGGTACGTCAGAAACTGGTGTTGCGCTGGCGATAAAGCGCAGGTATCCACAAAGTCATGATGCTATCATGGCTCAGAATCCTCCATTTACTATAGGCAATGTAATGACGTACAGACGGTCTGCGATCGAAGCTGGAGATGGGGTACGTGAAATATTACATATAGTAATTGATCCATGTGCACCGGGAACTCCTCATGATGTGCAAGTTGAGCAATTAACTAGATGGTATGACTGTGTGAGAGGAGCAAGTAACACGGGGCATGTGGCTACCTGTTTGCTGGGGACAGGAGAATTTGAACATACCATTAGAGCCTCACTGGAAGCATTAAAAGCTGTAATAAATGTGGACACTGACAATATTTGGACCGTGGTTCTGACCACGGAGAGTTTGTTTAGAGCAGCATGCCAAGAGCTGAACTTAAAGGAGTGGCGTCCATACGGAGCTGCTTCACACGCTCCGTTACAGCTGTATCCCGACCCACAACCCCCACCTGTCTATGGTGAAGTGGTAACACCAGCCAGATTTGAACCTGTGAATAAAGATTATAGAGATGGCATCTCTTCATCTGAAGAAAGTGGTAATGAGTCGGGAAACAGTTCTGAGAATGGATCAGATGACCCAGCCAGCGCTTGGGTGACGGATATATCAGCGCTAGAAGCGCAGTTAAAGCAAGGGACATATTCTTCTGGTCTCTCCTCCGGGTTGATCATGCTGGAGGGAGACTTGGGGGCTAGAACCCTCCCGGCACCTGAATGGGTCTTGTCTGTTCTTGTAAAACCAGGTACAAATCTCTGTCGGGTCCCTGCGCTGGCACCCATAAGGCGCCTGGCAGGGAGAAAAGCTGTTAAGAGCTGGGGACTCTATGAGCCTGCAGGTGGGACTCCGGTGTGGCTGGACCCAGGAGAGTCAGCCATGAGAGCTATTGTGGTCATTTCTAACGCTGTGGGCTCAACTCCCAGAAGTGAGTTGAAGCGCTGGCGGATACAAACGGAACGAGCTGTGCAGGCTGCAGACTTACGACCTTCTAGGGTGATTTTTTACCTGAGAAGTACAAAAGATGTGATGTTGCAAACTCATAACAGAAATGATATGGTGTATGCAGCTATAACCAGTCAGTGGGCTGGCAGAGTGTATGAGCCTGCTATCTGGCTACACAAAATGGAAACTGCAGCAAGGGCTCTTGCTGATAGGAAACAAGCAGACCTGGACAACCTCCCACGGAAGGAAGTGACATGGGCTGCTTCTCACACACCTGTGGGTGCGAGGTTTGGACCTCCTAATAGAAGTCCACATGACCATGCCAGGGCAGAACCTTCAGCACCAAGGCCATTAACCCCATCCGCGCCTGTTTGGGCCCCGATAGCGCATTCCACAGGAATGACACCTACTGGTATGAGTGGGCTTCAATACCATCGCCCCTCACCCATCTATTCTGGGGACAGCTCTCACCCATTATGTCACTCAAGTAGTGATGAGGAAGAGAGGAGGAAGACGTGGATTGGGCCTGAGGGGGGTGTTGAAGGCAGAGCATTGAAGAATAAGAGGAAAACTGTGCCAAAAGCACATGCTGCGAGATACAATCAAAATGCCCCCCCTTTCTCTGGGCCGTGGTACCGTGGCTTCAGACCTCTCACTGAGGGGGATGGTGAGCCAGAGGTGTTAAATAATCTGCCTGGTTGGTACTCTGCAAGGGGGGAGGCAAATGTGATTAGACATGCCAAAACCAGTATGGATGTTAAACAACAACCAAACTGGACTGAGCCTTTTAAGAATCAGTTCCTTAGCAGTGGCTATGATTTTTATCGAAGTGGCTGCATTCAAAGGGACTGTGACGTGGAAGCAGAACACAGAGCGGGCAGTAACCCCCACCCTTCCACTTCTCAGGAATGTGAAGGAGGGGTGCAAGTCAGACCCACCGTTGCAGATCAAACTCTGGTAGGAAGAGCCGGATGTCTCTCGGCCCTGGCCAGCCTTATGCCTGATAGGAAGATGGGAGAGCCACAGACCCGTTACCTTACACGTTTGAGGCAGGCTGGCTTGACAAATGAGGATTTAGCAGATCCGAGCATGATTGATCTCCTGCGGCTGAAGCAGGGTGTGAGATTGCCAAGGGCAGAGATAATGGCTGAGTTAACCGTATCCCGGGTACCAGGACGTGACTTAGTGGACGAATCTATAGATCGTTTGGTGGAGGAAGTGAAGAGAAAATTGATACCTCTGAGGACGGCTATGTTGTCTGTGCAAGAGGAAGGAGCAACGGTCATACAACAGGAACGAATGTTAGCATCACTTCCTGACGCGGAGTCTCTCGCTGTTAAATGGAAAAGTTTGACAAAAAGTGAGCAGATTAGAAAAATGGATAATTGGGAACTCAAAAGACAGATGAGAGATCAGTCAAAAAACGCGAAACCCCCCCTGGAGACGAGATCAGACGGCCAGGGGGGAGCAGAATCGGCTCGCTCACAGAGGCGAGGGAGGGAGATGGAGAGTCAGGGAGGAGACCCATACAGAAGGGGTCTCAGGGAGAACGGACCGGGGGACCGACAACGCCCAGGTCCGCGGGGGTTACCGGCAGATTGGATTCCGGCAGACGAGTATGCAAAATTAACGCCGGAACAACGATCTGCTCATCGCCGTATGAGGGAGGAAAGGTCGAGGAGGCTCCCAGTGGAGTCTCAATCATCCCAAGTGAATACCCAAACTACAGATTCACCCTCGCCGAGGCAATAGATGCCATCACGAAGGTGGCACACGTAGAGTATCCTTGGCTGGTTTGTGTGTACAGAGGATTGAAATTCGTCATTGATACTGGAGCTAACATGTCTGGTTTGGAAGAAACGCATGATGCAATAGAGGTTAATGAGTTACGATCAGCACGTCTAGCAGATGGGTCAGATATCGATTTCCAACCCGTGTTCAATGACAAACTGCCCGCTCTATGCATGCCTGCGCCGAAAGATGCTAGTTGGTTGTGCATTTCAGACTTGGTGGAGCTTGTGCAAAATAATCTGTCTGATTTTACTCATCCAGCAAGCCTTGCGCCAGATCATGATTTTCGGGTGGTGGTGAGAGGAGCTGTGGTAGATGTGGATAAAGAAATGGACAGGATTGTACAGGGAGCTTTGATTGATGATAAACAAAAAGCCCTTCTCAGACACGGCCTAAAAACTATTAACTTTGCAAAAAATAAAAATGACTGTGGATTGTACAAAGGTGAGCCATATGTAATCAGAGCTACCCCTCCCCCGCGTGTACCTCAGTATCCAATAAGGAGGGGGATGGAGGATTTGAACGAGTTACTCGTTGACCTAACACGTCAGGGTGTTCTGGAAGAGGTGAAAGAGAGCCTCACAGTGACACCTATCCAAATGGTGCCTAAACCGAACGGCAAATATCGGTTGGTACATGATTTGAGAGCGTTGAATGAACGAACTGTTCCAGACCTGAGATATAAAGTGAACCCTCAGAGGGCCCGGACGCAGGTGCGCCCTGGGAGATACAAAAGCAGTCTGGATTTGGCAAACGGATTCTGGTCGGTACCAATTTCTGTGGAATCCCAGAAGCTAACAGGTTTCCAGGTGGGAAATAAGACCTTTGTCTGGAAGAGACTGCCTCAGGGGTTCATCAATTCGGGAAATGTGTTTCAGTCGATCATAGAAGATGTGTTACAAGGAGAAGACGTCGTGATCTATATAGATGACATCTTGCTGACAAACGACGACCCTGAGCTTTTGCTCAGAGACTCTTTGCGTGTGATGAGGAAACTGAGTGAAGCAGGGTTTCTGATTGCCCTGGACAAGACTCAGCTGGTGACTCAGGACATAAAGTTTCTGGGCTATCAGTACACTCCTGAAGGGAAAGAGGTGGATGTGACAGTTTTTGAGAACATCACACTGCCAAAAACCCTGTTACAGCTTGAAGGGGTAGTGGGAAAGCTGGGGTTTTTTGTTGAAAATATACCACAGCTGTCAGAGAAAATGCAGTCCCTCCAAGCCTTAAAGCGAGGGCTCAGGAGCAGACTGGGGGGACGATTAATAACTAATGACCGTGCGCTTACATCAGAGGAGATTCAGAAAGTGAGAGAGGTCATTGAGTTTTGCAAAAACAATCATTGTGCTTTGGAGCACAGGGACACAGAGAAACCGCTCTGGATCAGAACGGATAAACGTGACGATGGGTTCACGGTGTATGCTGGAAATGATGGGTCTGAGCGCGCGGTTGCCATGTGGGATTCTACATGGAAAGGCCCAGAACGTGACAAGTTTCTCCCATGGGAGAGAGAACTTGCAGCTTGGCATAAATATTTGTTTCCATTCCTGTGGTTAGCTGATGGTCAACCTGTGTTACTGTACACGAGGGAACCAGAGCTTTGGAACTTCACATCCACTCACATGATTCCTGGCAAAGCCCTCACGTCCAGGAATGAGAAATGGGATGCGATGTTGCTTGACCCCACCATTTCACTGATCCCGGAGGGATCTGATGTGAAACCTAAGAAAAGAAAGGAGAGTGACCCTCCTAGGGACCCAGAGAAGGGCGTCACCTACTACACGGATGGGTCTAAGACCCAGGATGATGTTATGGCATTCTGGGCATGGATTAAATATGTAAATAACAAGAAGACCTCTCAGAGAAAGGGGAGGATTGCAGGTTCTGCTCAGAAAGCAGAGCTCACAGCTATTTTAGAAGCTATGGTACACCATGTGCGGACGCATGGGAAATCTCCTGCGCTGATCATCACTGACAGCGAATGGGTGTGTAAAGGGGTGAACAATGAACTCCCCACGTGGGAGAAGCATGGGATGACTAAGGGTCAGGCTGGAGGTCCTGTGAAATTCACAGACGAGTGGGCTTTGATCGCTAACTGTCTAAAAAAAGGTAACTTCCAGGTTCGACACCAGCCGGCTCACACACTGAGTGACACCTCTGCTGCCAGAGGAAATGCTGCGGTGGACAGGCTGGTGCAGGCAAGAATGGTGAGACTGGTTTTGCATGACAGTACAGAGTCTGACCACGACCTGGTGAAGAAGCTGCATGAAACTTTGGGGCACCCTGGTTTTCAAAGGCTGAAGAAGTGGTGCTTGCAGAATGCAGTTTGCATCCCCCATTTGGACTCTGTGCTGAGAGATGTTAAATCACACTGCGCTCTATGCTTAGAGCTGGGTAAACAACCCACAGAGAAAGTGGTTGGTGACCGTATTGGTCCAGAAGGCTTGACCTCTGTCTCTTGTGACATTGGAGAGCTGAAGAGAACACAAAAGGGCAACAAGTATTTCCTGGTGGTCAAAGGGAACAGGGGGGAGAGTATAGGGGGTATGTTCCCTTTGCCCAATATGACAGCAGGAAGGATTGCAGATTGCCTAGCGAGAATAATGGTGTGTTATCCACAAATAAAAGCTATCAGGATGGATAATGCACCACATTTCAAAAATAAAGTTGTTCTGGAGCTACTGGAGAATGAAGGACTGATAATCCAGTGGTCCATCCCTTACAAGCCACACACAAATGGAGTGGCTGAGAGAGCAGTTCGCACCGTTAAAGAGGCGATAAAAACCTTGAACTTGAAGGAATGGGATTCTCCAGGTGCAGTTCTGGCTGTTAATAGGGCTCTATTAGAACAGCCTTTAAGACAAGAATCTGCTAAAGACACACCCTCTGTCTCTCCACAGGGAGAACAAGAGAGAAGCTTCCTGCATAAAAGACCCCAGGATGGAAAAGTTGAAAAGATTGAGGGGAACCAGGAAGGTAACACAATCAGATGTGCAACCCCTAACCAGAAAACAGTCTGGCTTGGAGACTGTAAAGAAGTGGGTCCCACTAAATGAAGGGGGAATTTCATCCCCAATATGGCTGCTGAGTGCATCAAGTTCAGGGGGGATTACATTAGGTAAAGTACGAGGGCAAAGTTGTGATGAGGAGTGCTTCAGCTGGTCAGTTTACAGACCGGGTACATGCGCAAACTGTGGCAATGAGGTTGCTGAGATAAGGTGGGAAGGCCCGAGATTTCTTAAAGACAAAGTTCTGAGAAAAAATCCTTCACCCACAAACGTTGTGGAATTACATGGTGTGATGAAAGTGGCGTGGTGTGGAGATTGTTGGATGAGTAAAGCAGGCAAAACAAGAATTGGTCGTCTGGATCATCATAGTGTTGATGAATCTAGAAAATGTTGTAGAGTGGACAAAGGAAGACTCTCCAGTTGTTCCAGTTCATGTGGGGTGCGAATTTACCCTGTGGTGTTGCTGGTTCCTGGGATGAGTCACCTGTCAGGCTTGACATGCTCCCAGGCATATTGGGATAATTGCTTTAAAGAGATAGTGTGTACTAGAAAGGGAGGGAGTTTGAGTGAAACTTTCTCACCTTGGGGAAAGGTGCTGTGGGAAGCTACTGAACCACAGCTGTGTTGGAGAGACAGGCGAGGCAAGTTTCCTGTAACCACTGACGAGTGGGAAAGGAGACAGGTTCGTCATGAGACAACAGATAAGGATTGGTACACCTCAGCTACTGTACCAACATGTAATGACTTGTCAATAACCAGAAGTCAGACGCAAGTATTAGTTAAAACAAAAAAAGGCTGGAAGAAGCTGGATGTCTGGAGAGACTCACTCAAGAAGAGTGATGGTGTTTTAATAGCAGTAAACTTGGAGTGGGATCGGCACGCGGAGACCCCCAGGCTATTTACAAGGGACACCGTGGCTGCGCCAAGGCCACAGGTGGATTAAGAAAAATGTGTATGATGAAGCTCTCTGCCTAATTCTCCTCGTCTCTACAGGCAGCAGAGATTCATGGATTCCTGCGGAGAGTGGGAGGAGGAGGAGCTAGATCGGCTCCTCACACGACCTCCTGATAAGACTTGCTGGGAGAGTTGGAGAGGAGGTATCTTATGTTGTATCGGCTTATTAATCTGTGTGGTAGCGATATCTTTTATCTCAATGCCTGTTTCACGAGTTGTAACACTCAAGACCACGGCTGTGGTTAAAGGGTGGGTTCACAAGCGACCAGGAACCCTAGACCTGCCTAGAGTGTCGTGCTTGACTCCTCATGAGGAGAACTTTAATGCCACTCAGTGGATGGAATATTGTAAGGCTGTTACACAGGGCTGTCCAATCCCTGATCCAGGCGAGGCCTGTAGCCCCACATCTACCGGCTGGCTGATGTGGTTAGAACAGCTCAATAATGTCACCGACAGCCATAACTCTACTTATGGGCTGTTAGGATGGGAGGAAGGAAAGCTTAAAGTGTGGGATTTCACAGTTGATGTACAACCTGTGGAATGTATTACTAAAATCTACCATTTTGGGGTACTAACTGTCTGGGGAGAATATATAACTGGTTTTGATAAGGTTTCTGATTGCATGATATTCAGACTCCTTGCGTTCCCGAATGGAACTGCAGCTGGGAATGATAGCTGGGCAATGGAGGGGGGTTCCCTACCCCCCATGTCGCAGCTGATTGCTCCACAAGACGCAGACACGGCTGTGACCCCTCACTTGAGGAGGCAGACGCGTGCTGCTAAAGAGCAGACGAAAGGCCACAGGCTTCCTAGTCCACAGAGTATTTGGTTGGACAGAACCAAAGCTTTTTCAGCTTACAAAATGATCCCTTTAGGAAAGGGAAAACAACTGTTACCCATGACATTGCATGTAACCCCAAAGGGAGTTAAATTAAACTTCATTCATGCTCCGCATGTGCTGAACAGGAGCTTGATAGATGGAATGACAGAATATTTTATGATCATCCCACGTCTGGCCTGGGACAAAGGAGAGGCGGATAGCGTGTGGAGATGTATTAAGAAATTAACTAGTGACCCAAAATACCCCAGAACATGGTGGAATAATTATATATGGGAGTTAATGTCCTTAGGTGGACATGTACGAGGTCCTTTTCCTGGTATGATTCCGAAAACGAGTCATGATGCATGGCTTGTGAATAGCACATCGAAGAGATGGGCTCTGAATGTGTCATATGAAATGTGGATGGAGGATGTTCATGGCTTAATGGGACATTTTGCCCCGAACGGGTTCGATAAGCCAGGGCGAGTGACAGAGTACGATGTCCTTTTTGGACAATGGTGGGCTACCAATCTGACAGAAGGGGTGTTAGAATGCAGGCCTAAAGAGAGACTCGGTTCTACAATCTTTTGGATGGCTAATTTACTGGCGTTGTTGAACCCAGCTACAGTCCCAACGATTAAAGATGTAAATGTGAAAAAAGGTGTAAATATGACTCCTCCGTTCGTGAGGATGGAGAAACATGGCAGTTTAATAGAACTGACTATGGTCCGATCTCAAGGTCCGCATCTAGATGATTTGTACTCCACCCCAGCTTATTCAAAGTTTCGGTTTATGAATATGACATGGGGGCATTATACTGGAGAGCTGCGAGACTTGGAGTATGATTATGCGTATCGCGAACAAGCTTTACGATTCAGGGAAGCACATTGGGTGCGAAATTCTCTGTTAACCAGGTGGTGTAGGTCTGATGCGTGCTTCAGAACTCTGGCCCAGCCCGCTACGAAAATTGCTGTTAGAAATGGGAAAAATGTGTATAATCCTTATGAACTGGGCGGCTTTGTTGACCCTCACGGTTACCCCCACTGGTGGCACTCAAATTGGAGCAGCTACGTCGTCTGGGACTCAGAGAATTTCCCATCATTAGGAGTAGGATGGGGTTACTTTGCCAACTCGAAAGGCCCCAAGGCTTGTTTTTGTCAGGAGGACATAGATGCTGTTGAATACAGGAGCGACTTGGGTATATGGCCCTTTCAGGCATGGATTCCTGTTGGTGGGGGTCGTTGGGAGCAGAACTGTTCTGGTTCCTTTCATTTTCCCAATCGGACAGGCACATGTTGGTTGAGTGAAAGAGCTAGGATGTCTGATTGGGAATTTGTCCAGAAGGGTTTTAAAATTATTGGCCAAGGATTAACCTTAGGTATCAGAGAGGCCGTTAAGGTGGTCGCCCAGGGAGCAATGGGTGTTGCCTCTCTGGTAATCTCTGAATTATGGGTTTACGCCAAGGTCCCTGTGATCGTAGGAGGGGTCCTGGTGATGTTATCTGTTTGTGTTAAACTCATGCATCTTTTGAAGTGTTTTGCCAGCTGCAGCAGGAGATCTGCTAATCAGCCCCGATGGCAGGAGGAAGGGCCTCCTGAGTCAATTAGATTGGGACCACGTGGACGCCGGGCACTCAGGAACAGAGCTGCACGCAGGTAGCATCTCCCTTGAAGAGAAAGTTCTCAAGGTATCATGGCCCGTGCAGAATCTCCACGTGAGGTATTTGAAGAAGCAGATGAGGATGTGCTGATTACCTCGGTAAGACTGTCTCTATTGGGTTAATCTTACCGGCGAGATATGCTAATATTAGATGCACAAGAGGCCTAACTGAGGACTCTTGGAATGTTGATGTGATAACTTCTGCTTAATGCATGATGAGAAAATGATTGGTACATCCTGTTATCTGATCAGGATGGAAAGGCCCACTTATTCATTGTGGTTACTAATTTGCATGCTGTAACTTGTGTAATTCCTGCGGGAAGCAGTGAAGACCTGTGACCTGGATTAGAGGTCTCTAGGATTTCTACATACCTATTAGTGGCATGTTTGATATCATTATATGAATGTGTTGTACTAACAGAATTAATGATGAAGAAGTGTCTGGCTGCATTTTGTGAGAAAGACCTGACCTCAAGTTCACAGAGGATGGTAGGGTGCCGCTGACCCCTAGTGGGGTCATAAAGGTCATGCGTGACTGGTACCAGAACCAAGGTCTGTTTAGTGTCTCTGTGTGTGTTTTTAGGTTGATGAATCAGAGGATCTATTGCCTGGCCCAGACTCTCAGGAGATGCTGGTGCTGCCACCCAGTGGACAGAAGCCGCTGGTGAACAAGCGACGTCAGCCTGGGGTGATACCACCCAAGAGAGTTTCACTTTACGGGCTGGTGGATGGTAAACCTGTAAGGATAAACCCGAATGGACCGTGGAACGCACATGTTTGGGAACGTATTGTGTTGGTCTCTGATGGTACCAGTCATAAAGGGACTCGAGTGGCGAGGAGGGAGAAGATTCTTCAGAGAATTACACGCTCGACTCTAGTTAAGCATTTTGATTGTGTCAGGCGCGATGTGTCACGGGGCCAGACGCGCTTGCCCTGTGTACTCTCTCATTTCAGAGAAGGCGACGTCGACTGGTGCTGGATCAGTACACCCCACAACGACTACGTGCAGGAGGGCGAAGAGCCAAGGCGTGTGGTCAGGATGCAACCATCACCTGCTAAAGTGGACGTTCCGATGCAGGAAGTGAGCCCTCCGGAGTTCGATCTGCGTCGGCAGCTTCAGGCCGCTCCGTCTGTCCAGGCCATGGTGCCACCAGTGATGAATGCAATAAATCCACATGTTTACTTGTATCCAGGAAATTTGAATATGCAGTATTTCCCGCAGTTTATGCCGTTTAACGAAGCTTGGTTTCAAGGGGGGTGTTGAATAAAGATTTTCGATTCCTCCAGACCTGTCTTATTATATAATAGCAGTTCTGGATTACATCTCAAATCTGTATGTTAGTGAAACCAGGCTTCAGGGTTCAGCTAGAGGTCTGTGTGTGGTGATTTGACTCCTGATCTCATGCTGCCATAAATGATGTGTGTGTTTCAACTAATCTGCTATCCATGACAATTTATGTTGTAGTTTAACCTTGTATCGACTTTTTATGGTGTAGCCTAGGATGTGATAAGAACTTCAGGGACACGTATAGAGATGTTTATGTTTGACTTCCTTTGATCTGAGCTGAAGAAGGAAGAAGGAGGAGGGAAGACCCCCGCCCATCTGGCTGATACCGGAGGGGGCTGGGAGAAGACCCAAGGCCGGAGAATGCTTCCGAGGCAGGGGTTGCCATGGAGACGGAAGGGGGGCTAGGAGGAGAGAGTTGAGGAGAATAAAAGGGTGAGGGCTCCGTGGAGAGAGGCTGGGTCTGGGGCTTTTTGGGTGTTTGAGAAGAGTTCGGAGGACAACTGTAACGGTTGAGTGATCTGACCCGCTGCGTCGGGAAATCTGGAATATTTTTACTTCATCATATAAAATAAAATATTTGCTCCTTCATATAAGGGGCTTTAAACGGAATCTCCAGCCTGGGGTCTCCAATCGTGTCGTGTAACAGCTGAAAGGTGAGGTGCTGGTTACTTTTTGATCCCGCTCCAAGAGGTTTACATTTAAACTTAAAGTCTTTAACCTGGGCATAGCATAAGCTGCAGGTGACTGAGTTGTGGTGAAGTTATAACAAGAGTCTTCCTTTGTGCTGCTAAAGTATGTTTGCCAGAGTCTAAATCTAGGTAAAGATGATCGCTGATTAGCTCACAGAGGTGTAAGCTCAGACTGGAGTCCCGCTCACGCACAAATAGAATTACAAGTCAACCCTGAGACGTAGTGTTTATTAAAGAGTCAGCTAGTTTGGGAGGATGACTTGTAACACGCCCCGAGGAGCGTCTTGCCACATGTCACCACTGGATCTGACTGAGAGCCTCCAGGAGAGAGGCCCAAGCAAGACGCGCCCCGAGGAGCGTCTTGCCACATGTCAACACTGGGTCTGACTGAGCGCCTCCAGGAGAGAGGCCCAAGCAAGACGCGCCCCGAGGAGCGTCTTGCCACATGTCACCACTGGGTCTGACTGAGCGACTCCAGGAGAGAGGCCCAAGCAAGACGCGCCCCGAGGAGCGTCATGCCACATGTCACTACTCGGTCTGACTGAGAGCCTCCAGGAGAGAGGCACAAGGAAGACGCGCCCCGAGGAGCGTCTTGCAACGTGTCAACACTGGGTCTGATTGAGGGCCTCCAGGAGAGAGGCCCAACCAAGACACGCCCCGAGGAGCGTCTTGCCACATGTCAACACTGGGTCTGACAGAGGGCCTCCAGGAGAGAGGCACAAGCAATACGCGCCCCGAGGAGCGTCTTGCCACATGTCACCACTGGGTCTGACTGAGCGACTCCAGGAGAGAGGCCCAAGCAAGTTGCGCCCCGAGGAGTGTCTTGCCACATGTCAACACTGGGTCTGACTGAGCGCCTCTAGGAGAGAGGCCCAAGCAAGACGCGCCCCGAGGAGCGTCTTGACACATGTCAACACTGGGTCTGACAGAGTGCCTCCGGGAGAGAGGCCCAAGCAAGACGCGCCCCGAGGAGTGTCTTTCCACATGTCACCACTGGGTCTGACTGAGCAACTCCAGGAGAGAGGCCCAAGCAAGACGCGCCCCGAGGAGCGTCATGCCACATGTCACTACTCGGTCTGACTGAGAGCCTCCAGGAGAGAGGCCCAAGGAAGACGCGCCCCGAGGAGCGTCTTGCAACGTGTCAACACTGGGTCTGATTGAGGGCCTCCAGGAGAGAGGCCCATCCAAGACGCGCCCCGAGGAGCGTCTTGCCACACGTCACCACTGGGTCTGACTGAGCGCCTCCAGGAGAGAGGCCCAAGCAAGACGCGCCCCGAGGAGCGTCTTGCCACATGTCAACACTGGGTCTGACTGAGCGCCTCTAGGAGAGAGGCCCAAGCAAGACGCGCCCCGAGGAGCGTCTTGCCACATGTCAACACTGGGTCTGACAGAGGGCCTCCAGGAGAGAGGCCCAAGCAAGATGCGCCCCGAGGAGCGTCTTGCCACATGTCAACACTGGGTCTGACTGAGCGCCTCCAGGAGAGAGGCCCAAGCAAGACGTGCCCCGAGGAGCGTCTTGACACATGTCAACACTGGGTCTGACTGAGGGCCTCAATGAGAGAAGCCCAAGTAAGACGCGCCCCGAGGAGCGTCTTGCCACATGTCAACACTGGGTCTGACAGAGGGCCTCCAGGAGAGTGGCCCAAGCAATACGTGCCCCGAGGAGCGTCTTGCCACATGTCACAACTGGGTCTGACTGAGCACCTCCAGGAGAGAGGACCAAGCAAGACGCGCCCTGAGGAGAGTCTTGCCACATGTCAACACTGGGTCTGACTGAGCGCCTCCGGGAGAGAGGCCCAAGCAAGACGCGCCCCGAGGAGCGTCTTGCCACATGTCAACACTGGGTCTGACTGAGCGCCTCCGGGAGAGAGACCCAAAGAAGACGTGCCCCGAGGAGCGTCTTGCCACATGTCAACACTGGGTCTGACTGAGCGCCTCCAGGAGAGAGGCCCAAGCAAAAGCGCCCCGAGGAGCGTCTTGCCACATGTCAACAATGGGTCTGACTGAGGGCCTCCAGGAGAGAGGTCCAAGCAAGACGCGCCCCGAGGAGCGTCTTGCCACATGTCAACAATGGGTCTGACTGAGCGCCTCCAGGAGAGAAGCCCAAGCAAGACGCGCCCCGAGGAGCTTCTTGCCACATGTCAGCACTCGGTCTGACTGAGCGAATCCAGGAGAGAGGCCCAAGCAACACGCACCCCGAGGAGCGTCTTGCCACGTGTCACCACTGGGTCTGACTGAGCGTCTCCAGGAGAGAGGCCCAAGCAAGACGAGCCCCGAGGAGTGTCTTGCCACATGTCAACACTGGGTCTGACTGAGTGCCTCCATGAGAGAAGCCCCAGCAAGACGCGCCCCGAGGAGCGTATTGCCACATGTCAGCACTCGGTCTGACTGAGCGCCTCCAGGAGAGAGGCCCAAGCAAGAAGCGCCCCGAGGAGCATCTTGCCACATGTCACTACTCGGTCTGACTGAGCGCCTCCAGGAGAGAGGCCCAAGCAAGACGCGCCCCGAGGAGCGTCTTGCCACATGTCAACACTGGGTCTGACTGAGCGCCTCCAGGAGAGAGGCCCAAGCAAGACGCGCCCCGAGGAGCGTCATGCCACATGTCACTACTCGGTCTGACCGAGCGCCTCCAGGAGAGAGGCCCAAGCAAGACGAGCCCCGAGGAGCGTCTTGCCACATGTCAACACTGGGTCTGACTGAGCGTCTCCAGGAGAGAGGCCCAAGCAAGACGAGCCCCGAGGAGTGTCTTGCCACATGTCAACACTGGGTCTGACTGAGTGCCTCCATGAGAGAAGCCCCAGCAAGACGCGCCCGAGGAGCGTCTTGCCACATGTCAGCACTCGGTCTGACTGAGCGCCTCCAGGAGAGAGGCCCAAGCAAGAAGCGCCCCGAGGAGCATCTTGCCACATGTCACTACTCGGTCTGACTGAGCGCCTCCAGGAGAGAGGCCCAAGCAAGACGCGCCCCGAGGAGCGTCTTGCCACATGTCAACACTGGGTCTGACTGAGCCCCTCCAGGAGAGAGGCCCAAGCAATACGCGCCCCGAGGAGCGTCTTGCCATATGTCACCACTGGGTCTGACTGAGCGCCTCCAGGAGAGAGGCCCAAGCAAGACGCGCCCCGAGTAGCGTCTTGCCACATGTCAGCACTCGGTCTGACTGAGCGCCTCCAGGAGAGAGGCCCAAGCAAGATGCGCCCCTAGGAGCGTCTTGCCACATGTCAACACTGGGTCTGACAGAGGGCCTCCAGGAGAGAGGCCCAAGCAAGACGCACCCCGAGGAGCGTCTTGCCACATGTCACCACTGGGTCTGACTGAGCGCCTCCAGGAGAGAGGCCCAAGCAAGACGCACCCCGAGGAGCGTCATGCCACATGTCACTACTCGGTCTGACCGAGCGCCTCCAGGAGAGAGGCCCAAGCAAGACTAGCCCCGAGGAGCGTCTTGCCACATGTCAACACTGGGTCTGACTGAGTGCCTCCGTGAGAGAAGCCCCAGCAAGACGCGCCCCGAGGAGCGTCTTGCCACATGTCAGCACTCGGTCTGACTGAGCGCCTCCAGGAGAGAGGCCCAAGCAAGAAACGCCCCGAGGAGCATCTTGCCACATGTCACTACTCGGTCTGACTGAGCGCCTCCAGGAGAGAGGCCCAAGCAAGACGCACCCTGAGGAGCGTCTTGCCACATGTCAACAATGGGTCTGACTGAGCGCCTCCAGGAGAGAAGCCCAAGCAAGACGCGCCCCGAGGAGCGTCTTGCCACATGTCAACACTGGGTCTGACTGAGCCCCTCCAGGAGAGAGGCCCAAGCAAGATGCGCCCCAAGGAGCGTCTTGCCACATGTCAACACTGGGTCTGACTGAGCTCCTCCAGGCGAGAGGCCCAAGCAAGACGCGCCCCGAGGAGAGTCTTGCCACATGTCAACACTGGGTCTGACTGAGCGCCTCCAGGAGAGAGGCCCAAGCAAGACGCGCCCCGAGGATTGTCTTGCCACATATCAACACTGGGTCTGACTGAGTGACTCCATGAGAGAAGCCCCAGCAAGACGCGCCCCGAGGAGCGTCTTGCCACATGTCAACACTGGGTCTGACTGAGCACCTCCAGGAGAGAGGCCCAAGCAAGACGCGCCCCTAGGAGCGTCTTGCCACATGTCAACACTGGGTCTGACAGAGGGCCTCCAGGAGAGAGGCCCAAGTAAGACGCGCCCCGAGGAGTGTCTTGCCACATGTCAACACTGGGTCTGACTGAGCGCCTCCAGGAGAGAGGCCCAAGCAAGACGCGCCCCGAGGAGTGTCTTGACACATGTCAACACTGGGTCTGACTGAGGGCCTCAATGAGAGAAGCCCAAGCAAGACGCGCCCCGAGGAGCGTCTTGCCACATGTCAACACTGGGTCCGACAGAAAGCCTCCAGGAGAGAGGCCCAAGCAATACGTGCCCCAAGGAGCGTCTTGCCACATGTCACCACTG